GACCGATTATTAAACTGACAGAACGATAAATTTATGCTGACATATTCTATTAAGCTAGAAACACACTATAAAAAGAAATTGTTATAATACAACGGTAAATTTTATGATAATATATTCTAATTAAAATTTCAACGGATATTCCAATTGTATAATTTTCGTTGGAATGATTCCAACGAAAATTCTAACAGAATATTTCGATGGAATATGTTTTTCATTGAAATTTTAAATGGAATTTGATAATTTAAACGACTATATTTGCAACAGTTTTTTACCGTAGGAATTTTCATTGTAATATGTAATTTTCGTTGAAATTTTTATTTCCATCGTCGTTGGAAAATCTACCGTTGAAATCGTCACAATCCAACGAAAATTCCAATGGAAACGGAATATTTGTAAGAAAAAATTGGTTTTGTACCGATTTAACGATTCCACTTTTCGTAAATAGAAGACTTAGGAAATTCTCAAAACCTTTTTAAGGTGAATGAGAAATTATTTCTAAGTGTTATATGTTAATTAATTGAGTTTAAATAACTCAAATGTTGTAGGGTTCACAAATATTTTGTTTTGACAAATGTTTGGACGAACTAAACGAGCCATAATTATGCATTATGAATTCTAGAATTGTAGAAGGGCTCGTTGGGGACAAGTAGGAAAAAAAACGGAACTCGATTCCGAGTCTGTTTGAGCTCGTATGAGCCGCGGCGCACGGGCGCGCAACTGGCTGCGGAAATCAAAGGGTCGCAACCCTTGGTGACCATAAGGTATCTTTTGGCCACTAGATGCATCCGTTCTTGTTCGGGCACGTCCCAAAAGGTGTCTCTTGACACTTAAACCTCTTGGAGGTGTTTCCCTACATCTATAAATACCCACATACTTGAAATCATTAATAACATGAAAATTAGAGAGCTCTTGCATTACTTTTCAAAGATCATATAGCATATTGTGTTCTTTGATTTTTTCATTGAGTCTTGAGAGTTCCAAACAATAGTAGTGTTCGCCGAAGTCTTGTATATTTGAAGTACCGCTATATACAAGTCGAAAGTCGTTGTATCTTGGAGGCGTTTGCCGTTAACCGTGGGTATTTTACGTGGCAATTTCGTCTTAAGGAGAACATAATTATTACGTGCCTCGACTTTGATTTTTGTTTCGTTTTCTTCATTTTCCTTATGCCGTCTTTTTGATATTCACAAACCACAACAAACTACAATATTTTTGTTGGATTTTCTGTTGGAATTCATTGAAAAATTCCAACGGAAATAATAGCATTTAAATATTTATTGGAATTGCCGTTAGAATAATTCTATTGAAATATATTTCTATTGGAATTTCATCATTTTTTTGTACTGACAATATAATTTCTTAATAGATTTAATATTTAATTTTACTTTAAGTAATGAGTTCATATAAAAACATAAAAAGTTGAATACAAGTAAATTGATGAAATAAGATGATCATGCTGTATATATGTAAAAAAACATTTTTATTTAAGTTAAATACATTAAATCACATTAAGAGTATAAAATAAGAATACAGAGGCACAACAGTTCTACTATTTATGTAAATAAAATGCAACGTGTACAACCATTGCCGTAAATCAATATTAAAAATTGTGATAAATAAATATATAGTAGTACTTTGTAGAGCACGACTTATCTTTAAAGTAAGGGCATCTTTGGGGAGGTTTTTGGTGAGACTGAATTTATTAACTTTAGGTGAAACGTTGTGGAAAGTATATTGAATATGCAATGTATGTTTAAAAACAATAATTAAAAGCGAATGCAACGAATAAATAAAATCGTCTTTGAGGAGTATCTCACTACGTCTCATAGCTCTTTCATTAATAGATTGATTTGCGCTCACAATGTATAGTTTGTACTTACAAAACAAGAACTCACTCCTAATTTTACCAATACTATACCCAATTCTATCAATTAGTTCTCTAGCCACAACGTGGACTTCAAAATAGCCATTGGATCCCTTCTAGCTACAAAAGTATTTAATCCCTAAACACTCAAAGAGTTTGTGAATAAAGAACAAAAACTGCGATGTAAGAGCACAATATTGAGAATAATATCTCTCTCTAAAAACAAAAAGTTCTCTTTCCCCAAAATCCCCTTTCCCCCCATATCCCTTCACAGGGCTCTCCGTTCGGCCCGGTTCCAGTCGCCATTGGCGGCAAAGCTCGCCTCTCTTAGAGCCGAAGACTGCCCCCTCCCAGTTTAGATCTTGCCAGTTTTATTAAGGTGCCTATGTCGCTATGCGGGACTATTCGGTTTTCGAGTCGGGCTAGTTTGTCGGACTCCGATCCGTCTCCTAGGCGCTGTTTGGGGTTGAGTAAAGACTCCCCCTCCCCTTTCTCCGTCTCTCCGACTATGGTTTGGTGGTTTGGGCTTGATCGAGTGGTTGAGCGTGGGGCTTTGGTGGTGTGGGCTTGGTCGGGTGGTTGGACGTGGGGCTTTGGAGGCTGGTAGGNGTGTGGCTACACTGGAGTT